GGTGGGGGGGTTTGGGGGGGGGGGTTTTGGGGGGGGGGCATGATAAGCACATGCTGCTGCAGACCAGCCTGCTCGTTTTCCGGAATACAAAATAACATGGTTCTGGGGGTGGGGGTGGGGGGGGCATGGTAAGCACACCCGCCCAACTGCTGCAGACCAGCCTGCTCTTTTACCGGATTACAAAATAGCATGGTTCTGCGGGGTGGGTGGGTTTGGGGGGGGGCATGATAATGAACTGCTTCATCCCAGCAAATTCATCTCTTTCTGGGGGTGGAGGGTGGGGTGGGGGGGATGATAAGCACACCCGCTCAACTGAACCAGCCCAGCCTGCTCTGTAACCTAATGTGCAAATTCATCGGGTTCTGGGACATACGCCGCAGGGCATACATGTCAACACGCATGCACACAACCACATACATGGACTCGCCAGCATACATAGTAACATATGTCATGAAACATACACGTCACATATGTCATGCGATACACACGCGGACAAGCACAAACAAGCGCATACATGCTCGCGCATGCACGTATATAAACATACATCGCGAGCAAACATATCAACACGCATGCATGCGCGACAAGCCTTCTGCAAAAAGCGATCCCGGAGCGATCCATTTGCGCGATCCCTAAGCGAACCATTCGCGCGACGCCTAAGCGACCCACTGCCCTTCCTAAAGACTAACCTCCATAAAGGAGGAGATTCCAACTTGTATCACGGTGGTTGGATAAACCGAGACCCCCCACAACCCTGAGAGATAGGAAGGAAGGCCTGGAGCTACGCACGAAGTGTCACCCAACATCTAGGCTTTGCCACCAAGCTTCTGGGTGAACTCTGGCGTCTACCAAAAAATGCCAAAAGCACCTGGCCTGCATAGAAGAGCTTGTTGGGGAACTTCTTCTCCACTGCCTTGGTCCTTAGGCAACGGCTATCACAATAAACTGTGAAACGCCGCTGGTGGAACTTGTGAGCCAACTGAAGCTTCCCTCCTGTTGGACAACTGCCTTGATTTTGTCGCAACTACTGACAGAAACCGTCAGCTTTACACAAAGACACGCCAGGCTAGCAGCTGCAACATCGACATCGAAGCATACGTACACTACACTACCATCCATTGCAACAACCCCCAAGCAACTATGTTACACATCTCAGATTCCATCTGCAAAGTTTCATGTCCAGCCGTCTAAGTCTATGTGCAATGTACGCATCACGCCGGTTGCTTGGTGTCCGCTTTCTTGCATTGTGTCGCTTCCGACGACCCTCACCGGAGCTCCAAATCCACCACTTCCCTATTGAAACGAAGGGTTCCATCTGCATTCATCCAGGTGTTACACATCTAAGAAATAAACTAAATCAAGTCCTAAAATCAAATCACATCGATCACAGCTTCATGAACCCATCATTCGCATGGTTTGATGACCAAGTTTTTAAGCAACCGACGGCACCCAGTGTCAAATGGCAGTCACCATGCCCCTCGACTTGTTTGCCACAGAGTCATTAGGCAACATACGACCGGAGAACACCGACACAGCGAGTTTTAAAATGTTTGAACCCCGCAAATGGCCCAAGGTTGCTTTTGGTTTCCCTGTAAAATAACAGGCAGGGAGGATTAAAGGCATCTGACCCGCCAGAAATTTCATGACCACATTTCATGACAGCCCCGTTTCACCGGGGCCCCAGGCTGTGCCACCAGGTCGGCGCGCCCGGAGCCCACGACGATGACCTGCATCTCAGTGTCCTGGCGACAGCGGAGGTGGGCACCACAAGCGAGGTGAGGGCCGGCAAGACCTGCGCTCATCATATGGGTGTGGCTCAATATCAAACAGCTGGGGTTACGCAGGTTTTAGTCTTAGATTCCATGCAGCAAGGTTCCTCTACAAAGTACTCAAAAGCATGACGTTCGAGGTGGAACCACGTTAGCTCCGGCTCAAATTCATCAAGAATGGATGAGGAGCACACACTGGACATGGCATACAATGAATCCAACCGCAGATTCTAAGTGGAAGAGTGCGCAGGCACCAATATGTTTACCCGCAGCAGCGATCATGTTGCTCGCACGGCTCGCAATGCCACAAGAGGTTCTTCCGTGTCTCTGGGCCAGGATGGTTCTGGCTTCACGCCAAGGGATGGGTATGGGTCAAAAGTAAACCACAAGGGGACCGCTGGTTTTAGTCCTTGGTTCCATCAGTCAGGCTTCCATTTTTGGGTACCTAGGTTTCCCCAAAGATAGATATTCGATCTTGGGCCGGGCTTCTTTTCACATGTGGCATATCCGTTCCAACGAGACCGATGCTGAGATGGGCTGGTGCCTCGAGCACGTCGATCAGCGACTCCAAAAGCAGATCGTAGCCCTTCTGCGCATCCAGCCTGCGCCGGAATGGCATCAGAAGTCCCTGAACTCGTTCTTGAAGTGTGGCAACGCGACGTTCGCTGGGTTGGTCATATTGTATCCTGCATTTCTGAGCATGGCTTGGTAGCAAAACACAAGCAGTTGTTTTTGCTGAAGACAAAACATGGGGACCTCAGTTTCCCTGATCCTCTCTCAGAACGTGGAACATTTGATGAATGCCGACCAGGCGGACTACTGCAACATGACAGGACTGGCCACCATGCGCTTGGCGAGGTGATGTTGTGCCACATCACCCACAAAGCGCATCTCACTATCGTCTGTTTTGTGGCGTGGATCAAAACCTCCAATGCCACCCCTTCACTCAGACTCGGCTCCAGACTCCCATTCACGGCCTTCCGATGAAGCACATCATCGGGCCCTTGCTCTCCTTCAGGCTGTTCTGTGCGCGGTAGGTGGCCTCACGGACAACGTGGCACCCCTGACACACTGAGCGGGTGAGCACAGCCTCCCCTGTGTGGCGAGCGAATGCTGAGTTGCTACCAAACTGTGACTTTCTTCTTTCCCTGTCTGACACAAAGGCCAATGTGGCTGTGGGTCAAACAAATGTACCCAAAATGGAACCGAAACTTGGACTACAATTTGTGGTTTCGTGGTGGTTTAATTTTGACCCACACCCATGTCACCCTTCAAAGGACCACAAGTTACAAGCATCACGCCACCGATAGCAACTTGGCCTTCAGCTCAGCCTTCGCTTCTGTGGCGTTCGCAGCCTCGTCAATGGGGCAGGCGTAAAGGTGTTGCCCATTGTTTGACTGGTGATATATTGACCAGAGTTGCCAGCCCCACCCTAAAAAAAACCATGGACCCTTAACAAAAACCTGCACCAACCCTAAACCAACCCGACCTAAATTTGAATCAATCCTAAACCCAACTAAATCGAAACTAAGCCTGCCAAGCCGAAACTGAACCTGAAGCAAGCCGTGTGGGTTCAGGCTGGTTGAAGGTTGGGTTAGCTAGGGTGATTAGGTGGATTAGGCTTGGGGTTGATTTATGCTTGGGATTGGGTTAGCTTATTGGCTCGTCCCCATTGTTGGGGTGCTGGGGTACACAGGATCTGGGGCAATTGCATGGGTGGGAGGGCAAGCAAATCGGAACCCGTGACCAGACATCATTTTCATCGTGCTGAGTGGATTGCATCCTCTCCTGGTACCGTTTTGCCGCGCTTGCAAACAAATCATCGGGATAGTTGCACTCTGGTATTAGGTCCGAACAACAAACAGGCAGCTCAACAGCTGTATAATATACAGAAGTGTCCGTCACGCCTTTGGTTGTCGCCTTCAAGGCGAAAATCTCCCTCCATTCCCTCTCCTCTGCTGTTTGCCGCCCTTAACTTGGCGCCCCACGTTGAACGTTCCGCAGGTCATCATGGTCTTGGTCACAAAGTTCTTCTCAGCCGGGGTCACGCCCTCCTTGACTCCGTTGAGGATTCCTGCATGTCTTTTGCGGTCTGTGATCGCTCGATTCTCCGTGCGTGTTTCCTGCTCGACTATCAAACAGGTGGCCTTCCTTGGACCCCGTCAGGTTCCATGCTAAGTGGTGGGAGGCTAGCTCCAAGTGCCTATGTTCAAACTGCAGCAACTGCCCCTCCTGTGCACTTGCCAAGGCTGAAGAGCTCTTCCAACTCCACGCCCTTCTCAGGGTCTGTGCAGCACTCCACGGCATAGCTGGGAGACACCGTCAGTGCCTGGCAGCTTTGCTTTGCCAACCAAAAATCTTGGGGTGCACTAGCATTGAGACTAGCGTCCATGTGTTGATTGGACATTGGCAACTGCAAACACCCCACTTCTTGATCAAACCAATGGCTTCAATGTGACTTGGAAATCGTTCCAAGTTGGGCATGATAACAACACGTCAAGCTTGGCTGCCATTCAACTCCAACAAATCTCTTTCAAAGGCTCAGTGCACAGCGGTGAGCAAACGCCAAACAGCTTCAAGGACTCTCGTAGGGTTGCTACTTTCAATATCTGGTTTGCACGAATGAGGAATCATCTACTTACTTGCAGCCATAGCCATGCTATGCCCTGGAATATCAGATCTTGTGCAGCTGCAACTATCTGCAGAACTTGCGCACGCCATGTGCTGAGAACAATTCTCAGTGCCCGGCGCGGTCCGAGTACTTCAGGCCCGCTGCCATGGTATTGATGCAGCTGACCTTGGACAAGGGTCAAACTGATAGGCAGACCCGGAGGAAAGGAACACACGCGGTTTTTGAGAGGTCTCCATACGAATTGCACGCGCTTGCGAAGAGGTACTGCCCCCGAGCTCACGCTGTCAAGCAGTCACTCGAATCTCACGTCAATAGTCTCTTTAAATCCTGGTTTGCGTGTTTGATCGTTGGAGCATTCGGCTGAGCCAAACTTCCGAGGGCATTGAGCATGACGCCGTGTTTTGGAAGGCTTGGCTCAATGTAGGCTTAGCTCCATCCGTTCCAACTCGACTTCTCCAAACAAGTGCTCGGAGCAAACGCATAACGCAACCATTCTTGCTGACCAGCCAGCTTGACCCCAAACGCACAATGATGGCCCGCCTTCTCGTTGTACTTGCCGATGCGGAGCGGCATCTTGAAGGTGATGCTGTCAATGTACCGCTGGGGCACGCCGAAAATCTCAGCCAGGCCTCCACTAGATACGGTAATTCATGGGCGAGAATCTGCATGGTCTGCCTAGGCTTCCCCAACAAAATGTCAAAACAAAGGCCACATTGCGGAGTGGAATTCCAAACTTACTGCATTGACAAAGCACTGGTGTTGCTGTTGCCATCGGTTGACTACAAGCACGATATTGTGCACTGAGCCAGAGGATGAATCTGAATCCCAGTGACGACGATGTTTTTGGAACATGTGTGAATCCCAAAGATTTAAGAGCTATGGCAGCAATGCACTCATTCCGTGTGTTCGATGTGCGCACGCGTCATTGACGTTTGATGGCAGGAGGCTGCAGATTGATCCAAAGTGGGGTCGGGCCCTTCAACAAATCCGTAGGCGCAAAAACCCGTCGATGCCACCCTGGCCCCTTCACCGGTTTCATTCTTCGGTGAATCAACTGCAATTCGGTTGATTCTTCCAGTGTAACCTTGTAAAGCTGATTGCCCCGGTGCGGGGGTGTCTGCTTTTCTTAGGTCTTCGCTTGAAAGCCATGAGAAAGGGCACCAACTCCAAAAAAAAAAAAAAGACGAGCCACCCCTCTGCCCAAAAGCGGCCTTCTTCGCGGATGAAGCGGCCCTGAAAGACCGCGTTGTGGCACAGGAAGGCGGTCTTGGTGTTCTTCCAGCTGCCTCAGTGAGCCGTGATCAACCAAGGGTGATTGCACTGGAAAGCAACCAAGTAAGATACCCTCAAAGACACACACCCATATCAAGGGGTGCATAAAAGTCATCTCAAAAGCGCTACTGCCACCTATTATTTTCTTTCATCATTGCTTCGCTATAAGGTTTGCTGCAGGAACAAGTGATGGCTCTCTGACAGCTCAGAAATACCAACTCACTATTCTTGAACTCTTGCTTGAAGCCTCCTGATTGCCTGAAGCCTCTCCCTTCAGCCCGCACTGAACACCATTCGACCCGCCAGCTCCAGCTTGAGGCAGGCGCCGGAGGTGGCCTTCGCAGCCTGCGTTGCGCAGGCGCGAGTTTCAGTGCTTCTAAGCCATGATGTGTAAAAGGGCCCAAGACCTCCTAACATCTGATGACTCAATATTGCTTTATTTACCTAGCAAACAAGCGAATCATGCCAAGCGGCATGAATGAACATGGGCACGAGGGCGCTGTGCCAGTCGTTGCACAGCACCATGCAGTCGCCGCCATACCTCGGACATCTCAACCGCAGTTTCTGTGCTCACCCTGGACTTGCCCTCAAGATGAAACGGAACAAGCAACACATGAGTCAAAACCGGCCGCAGCTATTGGTTGGGATTGTCCCTTAGTATCCTTCATCTACCCGAATCGGTTTTGATTGTGGCTATGTGACTGACCCCAAAGAGAATGTTTTACAAAGACCCATCGAAGGCTCAATTTCTGAGAGCCCGGCGCTGAGCCGCCCAAAGGAAGCTCCTGACACTCCAAATGCAAAAGCAAGCCTCGAATGGAATTAGAATGAGCAAGGTGAACACAACCATGACCCCGAATGGAATGATACTGACAAATATCCAACCCCCAAAAGTTCTGATATGCCGCATGCCCGTGTCTTTCTTTGAGGGGACCCCAAACAACAGGTGGTTTTCCTTGTTTCCCTTTACAAATCACCCTCAAAGGGGCTCCCCAAAGAGAAACACCCCATAAGAATTTCGATCGCCTCTCTCGTGCCACCGTTTCCCTACCGGCTCCTGGATCGCCTTCAGAGCCGCCTTGCAGAAGTAGGCAAAGCGAGCCTGGTTGTCAGCAAAGTCCTGGCCGTCGAAATGGGCTTGTCCTTTTTTGGGACTCCCTTTGAAACCAACCAAAAAGGGACACCCCCCAACAAAAACAACCCAAGATAGCGGGGCAAACCCACAAAACGCAGGTTTGGTTTCCTTGAAACATCTTGAAGCTAACCTGACAAAGTACCGCAGCCTCATGCGAGCGCAATACTCCATTCTCCAATTGCTTGGTGGTCACCGCAAGCGATGTCGCTGTGTGGCTGTGTGTGTGTGTACCAGCGAATCACAAGAAGGTCAATTGTCCAAAACCTCTTCAGGAGGGAGCAAACCAGCTAATCGCAAGAAAGTCCATTGAGTCCACCTTCTCAGGAGGGAGCAACCCCAGCAATTGCTCCATCCCACTGTGAAGCAAGGACCCCTGCCAGCCATTCGCAACTTCAACACCCCCCTTCGGCCCTTCAGGGTCCATACCCCACTCGGGACCGTAGAGCTTGGCACCTGGCGGCGGAGCACTCGAGACTTGAATGAACGTAAGTGACCTCTTTGGCGAAAAATGAAAATAAAAATAGATGGTTGTCCCCGGTACATGGAATGAAACCGGTCTAAATCAGAAAAAAGAGGAGAACAAAAACAAAACAAACAAAACGAACAGGGATGCCTCATTCTTCTAAAATGTGCAACGAGGCCAAGATTCCAAGGTCATGCGGCGTACCTGAACCTTTCCTGGGAGGCAACACAATGAAGCAAAAGGGCAACCTGACAGCGCTACGAGGAGACACAGGCAGGCGCAAAAAGTGTTGATCTCAAACGTTTTGATCTATGACAGTCGTTGAAAGGCTCAAAGCTTCCTGCAAACAAGGACCCTCGTGTGTCCTAGTTGTTTTGCTGTGAATGCGATGAAAATTGACTCCCGCCCAAGTAAGTTTGTTTCATGTTTCCGCGCCAGCCCAGGGGGCTCTTCATGTTGGCAACTAGGCCTGTGAGCCCGTTCACCCGCTCCAGGAAAGTTGGGTGGTCCACGAACACGTAGTCGACCTCCCAATGGCTGGCTGCAACAAGCCAAACGACTTTGTCTGCCAACGTCAAAGTTGTCTTCAGGCTTTGAACGCCAAGTTTCATGTCCTATGAGTTTGCCCAATTGGTTTGCTAGCCCGTGACATCCACTAGCTGGCGGCAAGCTACTTTGCTCCAGAGCCGTCTCCTATAAGCTTCTGGCCTTCTGCTTGTAGGTGTGGAAAAAGTGCACAGACTCCTGTCAATGCATTGCTCAATTGCACTCTCGTCTGAACTCAAGGTCGTTCAACTGGACCCAACAAAGGGCGAGTGAGATGCTGTGTCCTGCTTGCCGCCCATAGGGATGGAGCTCCAATATCCAGTGTCCCATGCATCCTTGTACTGATCATAGCCTCAATGCCAGCATGTGCCACCCAAACCCGGAGCTTCTACATTTGCGGGTTTCTCATGGTTTCTCCGCTGAACATGGTGCGCAATCAGCTCATCTCGCTCAGCGAACCATCACGAGTTGTCCATCCCGCCGAAACCCAGGCTACCAACTTGGCCAATGGCACCCAAAGCCCTTGACCCAATCCGCATGCCACACGCCTCTCTGGGAGAACCGCTGACGCCGAGTGGCGAGGGGAGATGACCATGCAGCGGTGGCCCAGAGCAGCCAATGCGGTGGGCAGGCCGTCCATGGCCTCACCCAGTCCTGGCGACATAAAATCCCCGCACATGCCATCAGAACCTGACCTCGCTTCACACCTGGTCTTGGTTTGCTTGTAGAAACGTAGCCTATTGAACTATTCTTCGTTTCATGCCACACTGACCTTTGCATCCGTGCATGTAGTGCGAGGCTGCCATGCCTAGCATTAAGGCATGTTGACCAAAGGAGCAAGGGGGTTGGCATCCCCAATATCTGCACTGTATTGTATTGCACTGTGCCGGCATAACGTTGACCTTATTGAGGTTAACCTTGGTGGTGATTACCACTGTTTTCGGGCTCCAACCTCAAAACCACACACACCCAATTGGGCAATGAGCTTGGGTGTCCTCCTGTCTTCGAGAACGGGGCCACTTCGCTGGTGACGAACACAAGCCTCGCAGCTTGTAAAGAAGTGGCGTGTTGAGTGGTTTGTGCTCTGGATGCTCAAAACAAAGTTTTTTTGCAATAAGCCCAACAAAACTCCAAAGCAAACTATGTTTTGGGTTTGCATGTTCCCCACCCCGCGGGTTTGGGAATGTTAGACTTTAAGTGACGTCCGACGTCCACAACCAGCTCGCCCGCCGACAGAGCCTGTGACAGACAGCTGCGACGCCTGCAACAGCAGCTGTGACAGAGCCTGTGACAGACAACTACGACAGAGTAACAGAGCGATGTGACAGACAGCTGCGCAACAGAGCGACAAAGCCCGTGACAAGCAGCTGCGACAGAGGCACCGGAGCTTGTGGCGACAGAGCATGGCAAACAGATACAACGAGCATGTGACAGGCCAGGACAGCCGTGGCCATGACAGCCATGGCCATGACAGCCCGGCCAAGACAGCTACGACAGTCCGAAGCCTGAGGCTCCCGCCTTTGAGCCTTTGAGCAAGTCAATGTTCGAGCCGGAGAAACATCTCAATAAAATCCAATGTGATGCCACCCTCCTGTTGAGGCATTTGACACAGCAATGCATCGTTCCCTGCTAATTCACTCTTGCTTCGTTTAGAAGTCCAAAATACATGCCCAATATGCATAAGGGCGGCATGCCCTCTCTGCCCCCTCGCGCTGAGGCGCTGGTACTTCTTGGAGATGGAGGTGCTCACCTTCCCGTTGATGCTGCTCACAGCGCTGCGGCCCTAACACGTTTGCAGCGTGCGGAGAGCAGCGCCAAGTTGCCCGAGATCGGGTCAAATATTCGTACAAGAGGCGCAACATGTCCGAACATCAAGTGGGGTTGTGAGAGAGCTGAGATATACATTCGACACCTAGTTGCTGGTTACCCTCACGAGCAATTGCAATAACTAGTGCCGCAGCCCCTGAGTGATCGAGCATGAACTGTAAAGGGGGGGCCGCAAAGCAATGCGTGATGCATGCCAAGGGAAGCTCATGAACTTGACAGGCACGAAACTGTACGACTTCCCCTCCCTGCCCACCAATTGACATGGAGCTGATAGGCTTGTGGAAGACCCTTCTCCTTTTCAAGGGATCTCCTGTCAGCTTCCATGTTTATGCTTACGGAGGGGTAACCGACCACTAAAACCACACAAATCTCGATTCCTTTTCAAGGGATCTGCCGTCAGAAAACCACGTGTATCGGTGGGCCGTCAGAAAACCACGTTCGGTGGGAGGGTACCTAGGGCCTTCCGCGCGCCTCCGCCATGGCACGGCCAGCCGCCACGGCGGGCGGCCCGGTCCTGGGCACCTCCGAGCCGCCTCGGCCCAGCGGAAAAAATAATCACCTGGGTCACAAGCAAAACCCGCTATTAGCATGGTCTACCCAGAACCATGTAAAGAATTTAGAAGGCGGATACCCGCAGCTATTTCTGGTTGGGATCGTCCCTTACTAACCTTCATCTTCCCGGGTTTTGACTGTGACTCACTTGTGGAATTGCTTTGCCGTTTGTTGTTTTGCGGTTGATAGCGACAATTTTTGCCGGTTGTTGGTGGGGAAAGGCACTTGGGATTTGATTTCTGTGGACATCAAATCAGTGAGGATTATCAAAGAACAAAAAACACGTCACACGAGGGCGCAATCTGAATGGCGGCAACGCAAGCGTATCCATCGTCTCACCGTATGTATGACACTTGCTCATCTTATTTGCCTCTTCATGTATCCCAATTTGTACTGATCCCATGCGTGTTTCAATTGTGTGGCATGGTTGTGCTTTGCGGAGGATTTTCTGTGTGCAGCCTCATTGCAAAACAGAAATACACTTGCCAAACTTGGCATTCGAAAACAGAGACGTCTGTCCAATGCTTGAAAGGAAAAGCTAGCCCGCAGCAAAGCATCAGCACATGCTCCTTTCTACTGCTATAAGGATGTATGCCGGTGTGAGCAAGGCAGTGCTTTCAGGCTGAAACGGACAACCTTACTTCCCTGAAGGCCCCATCTTTACACGCGCGACATCGCGTGGCATCGCAAAACAATAGTGCGATTCGTTTTCCAGCCTAGGTCTAGCAGGATGCGGGGATATCACCCACAATGGACCTGCAACCACGTACCTTTCAATCCTCAGCATCCTCTCAAAACAAGGCAATCAACATCAATATCAACATCTGATAGTTTCCAGACATTTGTCTCAGTCTACCAAAAAAACCGAGCATTTTGATACCAGAAGCTGTTCAATCCACATCTCCCAAAAGAAATCCTCTCACACGGACCCCGAGGCTCAGGCCTGCCGAGCTTGGCAAAGAAGCCGCTGCAGCCTGGTCGACACATGCAATGGAAAGACGGCACGGCTGGGATTGGAAGGGGAACTGAGCAAGTCTTCTTTCTCAGTTGAAGCCTCCCTGATGGTTCGGCAAAACAACACCTTGTGCGGAAGCACGGCTGAAGGGGAAGTGAGTCCGAGCAGTTGAAACAGAACTACGAAGCGACGAATTCTATGAACCTGGCGCTTTCCAGCTGCATGCACCCACTCAATGCAGCAACCAGCCTGCCATTCAACTCCCAACTTACCAGCAAACCACATCCACCAATGGCAACAAATAAATCCCTGCGCTTTACAGCTGCAGTCAATTCTGCAACGAAACTTCCAACTTGGGCGTGGGTCAAAAATCGGTACCCAACATGGAACCCTGCCAAATGGAAAAAAATGGCTAAACCCCGCGGTATTTTGGTGGTTTGATTTTGACCCATGCCCACTTACCAGCAGCCTTCGCCCCGCCCTGCGAGCCTTGGCATAGCTGCGGGCAGGGCCCACGGCGCTGGCGTACGCCGCTCCGGTGGCGGCCTCGCTGGCAGGGGTCGGCTTGCCGCTGACGATGTTCAGGACCTCGGCTCGCTCCAAAGGCCACTAGGGGCCAGGGCCCAATAGCTGGGCTCAGATCCCCCGCGAAAAGTGACCAACTTTCAGTGGGTTAAATGGAAACTACCACCCAACACTAAAAGGCTAGAAAGCTAAGGGGATGGCTGGGAACCAAGATAGGCAAGGGATCGTCTGTGAGCGGACCTCAACAAATTTTCTGCAGTGGTTCCCATGGTCCTACTGATGAGGTAGCATGTTCCTTGATGCGAAAGCTTCACACCTGGTCGTGCTCGCTTCTTAACTCTTGCTATCAAATGGTTGAAAGTTTGGCCTGGATATGCGGCCGCTTGCAATGTGCCAGCTCAGCTGTGAGGTCTTAGGGTTCAGGGTTGCAATGCTTTTTGTTGAGGTTTGGGGTTCAGGGCTTTTTGCTGTTTAGGGATTAGGTTGAGGGTTTAGTGTTGATAGGTTCTCAAGGGTCCAGATCCAGGGTTTTAGGGCTACGCTGCTTGAGAGTGAAGCTTTGGGGCTTGGGATTCTTAGGGTTTGCTCGGGGAATTCTGGGGTTTAGAGCTTTTAGGGTTTCCACAGCTTTTCGGCTTTTGGAGGGGAAGGGTTTGGAGGTTTAGATTTCGGTGTAGATTTCGGTGTATGTTTGGGGGGCTAAGGGCGTTTAGTTTGAGTTCAGGGTTGAAGGCTTAAGATTTTAGGTCCAAGGTCTAAGGTCTAAGGACACACAACAAATGCCCATCCCATTTGGTGGTGCGCTTCTTTCAGGCAAATGACAAACAAAAACCCGAAAGGACGCCAATAGGGAAAACAAGACACAAGGAAATCGCCACAGAAGCCAAAAGGAACCAACAGGAAACCCAGAAAAAAAAAGGGGAAAAACAACGCCTTTTCTTGGTGCAACGAATTTGCGCCCGGACAGTTGCGCCATGTTCGCTGCTTCCGAGGCGCGCTGTTTGGCGCGGCCTGCGTGGTGCTGGGCGGCAAGGGCCGCGAAGCGATGGCCGTAGACTTGGCCTTGGCCTGCGAAAGGCTTCTAAGTGGTGTCTGTAATTCAAGGCACCTCGTGGTTTTCCCTTAAAACACTAGCAACCAAATTGGGGGACCCTCAAAATGGTGGGTTTTACTTTTGGTTTCTTATTGAAGCACCAGCAACAAAATTGGGGGACCCTCAAACTGTCCTTTTGTTTTTCTATTGAAACACCAGCCACAAAATTGGGGGGGGCCCTCAAAATGGTGGGTTGTCCTTTTGGTTTTCTATTGAAACACCAACAAGAAGGGTACACTCAAAAGATAGACAGACCAAGGAAATCCAAAGGGAAGCCAAAGGGAATCCAAAGGGAAACTAGTTCGTATTTCAAGAAAACCAACCATTTTACGGGTTTCCATGGAAATGGTGGTTTGCTCTCGTTTCTCACAAGTCCAACCTCAGTATTGTCTTGCGAGAAACGAGGTAACGTGTGAAACATGAGGAAGATCTCGTGGAGAATGCAGGGCTTCGCCCGCAAAGCAGCCCGCTTTTGGCACATCATGCCTCAGGCCTCAATCTACTGCCAATTTTACGGCTCATTTGTAGGCCGAGCTCGTTATGAAGGTGCCTTGCTGAGGGATCCAACTGCAATTATCTTCAAATTTGCAGATCCATTTGGTTGTTTCTCAACATAGGGGAAGCGGTCAGCTTCATTTACTCTCCCTTGAAATTAGGGATTTGATGAGTTTTGGTTGGGGTCCAGGTTTAGTGTTAGGGGCTTTTAGCGTTTAGGGTTCAATGTTTGGGCTTTTAGGTTTAGGTTTAGGGTTGGTAGGGTTTAGGTTTAGGTTGTGTAGGGTTTTGGTTTAGTTTAACTTTAAACTGTTGAGGCTTAGGCGTGTAATTTGTGTGGTTGAAGTTAAAAAAAGGGTTTGGGTTTGGCTACCATCTGGATCCATGGATGTAACTTGGATGTATGGATGCATCTATGCATGTTGAAATACACATGGATGGGTGGGTGGATGGTGGGTGGCAGGCTGGATAAAGGGATCACTACAGTGTCGAAAACCCTGACACCCTCGCTTAAAAAAAAAGGATAATATATTTAACTTGTGAGAAACGAGCGAAAAGAGTACTACGCACCCTAGGGCTTTCATTTTGGGTGCCTTGAAAGCGATGCTGGCCCTGTTCGATTGCAGAAGGCATTGAGTTTGAACTGCCCGGAAGTCGAATGAAGCCCCTTTGCACTTCCGCTGCCTCCCCCGAACACGGGGACACGTTCTCACCAAGGACTTCGGGAACCCCCCCCCCTCCCCCTCCCAAAAGTGCCTTGGGCTGAGCCGCCTCGGCCTTGGCGCCAACTCCTGGAACCAAAGACGCTGCACTGGTCAATGGCTTCCATGTGAGAGCTTGAGTCGATTGAGAGTAAACTAGTGCTGACGTGGGTGGTGTTGGCTATTGAGCTGAGCCTGTGTGTTTTTTCAAATCAATGTGAATTTGTGGCGGATCCGGCGAGTACTTGCACAGGGATCAAAAATTCACGGGGTCGCAAAGGGCCCCAACGGATCCCACTCAAAACCGTGGGCTCATGGTCTTTGTCCAGCCCTGAAACACCAACCACATCCAAACGTAAAGCCATTTACAGGGACCAGGGGCAACTCCTAGTACGGACCCACCACATCCAAACATAAAACCATCCACAGAGACCAGGAGCCAGGGGCACCTAGACTTGGGGAGTCGTCCTCGGGCCATGACAGAGCCAGTGGTGGCCATGCGCTCGGAAGCGGTGATGGGCTTCTTGCCAGCCTCAATCCAGTCTGGCGCTGGACTCGCCTGTAACACACACATATATATATATATATGTATATATATATAATTATATATAGAGATATTACATGTACCTATGTTTAGTGCATATACAAAAATATATTAATATGTATACATGTAACATGTATTTAGTCTCAGCATACATAGCATGAATATCCGGCACATCTCCCGCTCCGCTCGCGCCCGGCCTCCATGACCGCCGCTGCAGAAGCGGGGGGCACAGCCTTTGCTACGGCCTTGGGCACTGCGGAAGCACCGGCGCTGGCGCCAGTCGCGCCAGCGGCGCTGCCTGAGGTGGCCATGGCAGTGCCGGCAGCCTGGCAGGAGTCATGCATCGCCACTCATGGGTCTCTGTATGGCTCTGTTAAAAATACTCTCGTTGTATACGCACCCAATGTTTCACAAGCACATGAACTACCAGGCCGGAACGTGATCAAGAAACGCGCAATCCAGGAAGCCGATGCAGCGTGCACACGCGTATTTGTCCAACAAAAAAAAGCCGTATACCGCCGTGCATTTTGGCCAGGCTTGCGCAATTGCGCAATTGCTATGGCTTTATCAAGTTGAGAAATCAAATAACCCTAAGCTGGGCTGGAATTAGGACCCCAGCAAAGAATGATTTTGGTTTTGCCTGGTTAGTGGAAAACAACGGAACAACCAAAAAAAAAGGGGGAGCTAATTTTGGGGAAATAAGTAAACATGAACTGTTGGGTGTACAATATGGCGCGACGCAAATCATTGCGCCTGTGCCTTGGGCGCAGCAGAGACCAAAGAGGCGGCTTTGGAGGTAGGAGTCTGGCCGGGCAGTGCAATGCCAAGTAGAGAATGGCACATAGCCCATGATCCCGAGAATAGAGGTGGTGAACATATGATTCTGGGGGTTGATCAATATTCCTGGCCCCGACATAAGCATGGGCAACTTTTCTCATGTGGAAAATATCATCTTTTGTGTGTGTTTTTTGTCAATGGCCATCCCATGTAAAGGACCTTTTGATTAATCCTCCCATATGAGCTGAACATGGAGCGACCTCGACGGCTCTCTAGCGACGAAAAGACAGTTCGTTTCACGCGGCTTTGAGGGCGTTGAAGCAACGTCACACCGCAAATTTCCATGACTCAACTAAGAATAAGCTTGAGATACATGTCATGCACTGCAAACAAGCTTCACCCTGAAATCTCCGCATGTGCCCCTGTAAAGCCCACTCTCCAATGCGAACAGTTTCACGAAATGATGATTGCGACATCACTTGGCAAGCATGGCGATCTCCGCATCGTCAATGCTCACAGGCGATCAACTAGCTTCTCCACTGGCCTCTTTGGGGCCGGCTGCCACCTCCTTCCTGGGCTGTCTTTGAACGCTCCGCAAACATTCCCAGCAAACTTCAAGGCATGCACCAAGAATTTCTGCCCTGCGCGGCGAGCGCCCACTGCTACATGTTCGAAAGTTCTTAGCTGACCGCGAAAATCCTGAAACTGGGCTGCTGCCACCCTGGCTGCTGGTCCCAAAATGTACAGTGGACAAATCTGCCCAACGCTTCGCAGCATGCACGGCGTTGCCTACATTGCCTGAGGGATGATCATGCGGGCGGCAAAACTAGGAAGACATCGCCCTTGGCGATCGGTGCTGTCAGCTGAATCAAGGTCAAAGGTGTTTGCCCTGAAGCATGCAAGAAAATACTCCGATCCCAGCGGTCCCGAAGCAAGGCGTCGTCTTGTTTTTCCCAGATTCCATCAATAGCCATTAAAAGCCTTAAACGGGTATCTCCACATCAGTGCAGACTCTGATGTTTTGAGGCGGCGACACAACTCTGGGGGCGCCATTTGTTCAATGTTGCAAACAGCAAGCAATGGCTGCCGCAAGCAAAGGACAGAAAAAACAAGCAAAACAACTCACCCAAAGAATTTCCACCGACCCTCCTTCTATCAAGTCTCCTCTGCTCTGTGGTCTTAGGCGCTTCCTCTCGAGCTTTAGCAGTGGCAGCCACCTCGCTGGCCTGACAAATCGCAGCGCCGTGTTTTTTTCAGCAAATGCGACTGGAATGGAAGCCCTTTGCCACCTGGACGAACAAGTTCCCAGTACGGACTACTGCTCGAAACAAGACACGCCCTGGCCAACAAACCATATCTCAGTGCATAAATTATGCGTTCTCGGCCTTGGCCACTGGCACCACTGCAGGAGCCTTCGCCGGAGCAGACATGATTGGCCTCGGTGCAATGTTCAATTTGCTGATTCAACACTCGCCAAACTACGTGTGCTATGGGTCATGGCCATGCGTCCCTTGCCAAGGCTGTCTCACTTCCCCACTAAGAAACGGATGACCTTCCGTCCGAATCTGCAGATGTGTGTGTGTGTGTGGGGACCATTGCACAAATATGAGCGCTCGTTGGCATCCCCAAGAAAGCACTAGACGTTATTATGATCAGCATCAGCATCAGTATCATCACCACAAACAGCACCACCACCACCACCAAAACCATCGCCGTGATGTTGAAAGAGCTTCAGAAGACGGCAAATCGATTTACTGCACTACACACACTCTGCATGTTGTCGAACTTGAACGTGATATAGCCAAATCGTGTTAGCTTGCCGACCACATAGAGCATTCTCAAAACTACATCCATAAGAAGTTTTGCCGACTGGGATATCCTTTAGACATTTCATGAAATCAGGGCGCGGCCCGCTGCGGTTTGTTGCGTCGCTTCCTCCCACTCCGCGGAATAATGAAGAAGGCTTCAAAGAATACTCATGCATATCCTCTCCTTCACCCACAATAAAATTGATTCATATGCCTAGTATGTGGGCTGCCAACATCTAGGGGTCCATTTTGCAAAGCTCAACACAAATGCTGGGGGCAAGCTCAGGAGTTTGTCTCAGTCGAAAGGACAAATAGAGAGCATTAATTGGGGTGGCATTCAAATTCGTGGTGGGGGTCGGGGTGCAGCTACACACACACATTATGACTGTCTTGTGATCTTCACATAATATCCTTCATCACAGGCAAAATCAACACGAAATGTCTGTTGGTTGCGCATGTCCACTGCAGTGGCAAACAAAGAGATAGCATTGAGTAGCGTGACAAAGTCTCACCATCCTTCACACTCCTGCATATCTATATGCATATTTAAGGGCTGCCGCCCAGTGCCGCCGACCCCTCCGCTGGGGGCCAGCCCAGGTTTTTTTTTGTTCTGGCAGCGGCTTTTGGCTGGTTCTGGCTTGCTGGCTTGCTCGCTCGCTGGCTTGTTTGCTTGTTTTCAGCGCTTTTCCAGGCCGCGCTCGTTTGCCCACAGCGAGCACCAACCAAAGGAGTGCTATATGGAAAGTAGACAGCAATCGGTCCCCAGGGCGCAACCAGCAAGAACAGCTTCGCGTCCAGCGCGCTTGGAGGCCGCACTCGCTGCGCTGCAGCGAGCACGAACCAAAGGAGTGCGCCGGCAGCCTGCTCCGCCGCGGCCGAGTGCCTAACGTCGCATTTGAGTCCAACATGCAGCAAAGCTATCGGTGCAGAGGGAGCGGCCAGCCACAAAAGCTTCGCTTCCCGCGCTTTTCCAGGCCGCACTCGTTTGTCCACAGCGAGCGCCAACCAAAGGAGTGCGCCGGCAGCAGAAAGGAAAAGGAAAGAAACCAAAGGAGTGCGCAGAAAAGGAGAAAAAGGAAGAAAAAAGGCCGTACGGGCGGGCCGCGAGAGAGCTTCAGCGCTGAAAGCTGTGCCCTGCAGGTGTTCGAGCGCTGTTTTAGGCCGCACTCGTTTGCCCCCCACAGCGAGCACCAACCAAAGGAGTGCGAAGACAGGCCGAACGGGCTGGCCGACAGAGCTTCAGCGCTGAAATCTGCGGCCAGCAGGTGTTTGAGCACTCTCGGCCTTCTCAGCTCAGGGGTAGTTGGTGTAGCGGCATCACACCCAGCGTGTGAGAGGGCGGGCTCAATCCCCGGCCTGTCCATGCCCATGTGCGCCTGCGTCTGGGACAGTCTGCCGATCCCTGCTCTTCTTTCCTTTGGGTTTGCTGTGCGTCTTGCCAAGGGCGGCTGTTTCCACCGCGGCCGGGTGCCGAACGTCACTGTAGAATCCTATACAGAAGGTAGAAAGCTATCGGTCCCCAGGGCGCAAGCAGCAAGAACAGCTTCGCGTCCAGCGCGCTTGGAGGCCGCACTCGCTTCGCCGCAGCGAGCACGAACCAAAGGAGTGCGCCGGCAGCCTGCTCCGCCGCGGCCGGGTGCCTAACGTCGCGGCTGAGTCCAATATGCAGCAAGGCTATCGGTCCGTCCAGCGGCCTCTTTTCGCTGTGGGCAAACGAGCGCGGCCTGGAAAAGCGCTCAAGCACCTGCAGCACAGTTTTCAGCGCTGAAGCTCTGTCACGGCCCGCTCGTCCGGCCTTTTTGCTTCCTTTCTGCTGCCGGCGCACTCCTTTGGTTGGTTCTCGCTGTGGGCAAAGGAGTGCGGGCCCGCCCGTTCGGCCTCCTTTCAAGCGAAGCTTTCTTCAGCGCTGAAAGCTATGCGCAGCAGGTATTTGAGCACTCTCGGCCTGCTCAGCTCAGGGGCAGTTGGTGTAGTGGTATCACACCCGCTCAGCATGCGAGAGGGGCTGGGTTCAATCCCCGGCCTGTCCATGCCCATGTGCGCCTGCGTCTGTCACAGTTTGCCTCTCCCTGGTCTTTCATCCCTTTGGGTTTGCTGTGCGTCTTGCCAAGACCGGCTGGTACGCCGCGGCCGGGTGCCAAACGTCACTTTTGAATCCTATATAGAAAGTAGAAAGCTATCGGTCCCCAGGGCGCGACCAGCAAGAACAGCTTCGCGTCCAGCGCGCTTGGAGGCCGCACTCGCTTCGCCGCAGCGAGCACGAACCAAAGGAGTGCGCCGGCAGCCTGCTCCGCCGCTCGGCTTCGGCAGTGCGCTAACGTCGCGTTTGAGTCCAATATGCAGCAAGGCTATCGGTCCGTCCAGCGGCCTCTTTTCGCTGTGGGCAAACGAGCGCGGCCTGGAAAAGCGCTCAAGCACCTGCAGGGCACAGTTTTCAGCGCTGAAGCTCTGTCACGGCCCGCTCGTCCGGCCTTTTTGCTTCCTTTCTGCTGCCGGCGCACTCCTTTGGTTGGTTCTCGCTGTGGGCAAAGGAGTGCGGGCCCGCCCGTTCGGCCTCTAGTCTTCCTTTCTGCTGCCGGCGCACTCCTTTGGTTTCTTTCCTTTTCCTCTCTGCTGCCGGCGCAAGCGCGGGAAGCGAAGCTTTTGTGGCTGGCCGCTCCCTCTGGACCGCTTCAGCGCTGAAAGCTATGCGCAGCAGGTATTTGAGCACTCTCGGCCTGCTCAGCTCAGGGGCAGTTGGTGTAGTGGTATCACACCCGCTCAGCATGCGAGAGGGGCTGGGTTCAATCCCCGGCCTGTCCATGCCCATGTGCGCCTGCGTCTGTCACAGTTTGCCTCTCCCTGGTCTTTCATCCCTTTGGGTTTGCTGTGCGTCTTGCCAAGACCGGCTGGTACGCCGCGGCCGGGTGCCGAACGTCACTTTTGAATCCTATATAGAAAGTAGAAAGCTATCGGTCCCCAGGGCGCGACCAGCAAGAACAGCTTCGCGTCCAGCGCGCTTGGAGGCCGCACTCGCTTCGCCGCAGCGAGCACGAACCAAAGGAGTGCGCCGGCAGCCTGCTCCGCCGCGGCCGGGTGCCTAACGTCGCGTTTGAGTCCAATATGCAGCAAGGCTATCGGTCCAGAGGGAGCGCCAGCCACAAAAGCTTCGCTTCCCGCGCTTTTCCAGGCCGCACTCGTTTGTCTACAGCGAGCACCAACCAAAGGAGTGCGCCGGCAGCAGAAAGGAAAAGGAAAGAAAAGAAACGAAGAAGAACAAGAAAAAAGGGAAAGAAAGAAGGCTGGTAAGGTACAGGGCTGAACGGGCAAGGGCGAAAGGGAAGGGAGAAGGCTGCCACAGTCACGCTCCAACGCTAAACGAACACTCCCCCAGCGCCTTCCCCTTGCAGGCAGGGGGGTCGGCGGATATATATATATATCTTATCCAGTCCTGCCTGCCTTGGCAGTCCAGGCTTGAATGAATAACTTGTTGGTACTGCCAATCAAAGCTCATATCAACGTGCTGCTTCTGTGGAGAACTCTGACCCCAACAAACCCCTTACATGTGCTAGCCCCAGTGCCCCAGTGAATCTTGGGCGCCTGAGCGACGCAACGCGGCAAGGCTGAAAACGCGGAAACGGCTGCGAGGTTCATTTGAAGTTTGACCGTCGCATCTCGTCATTTACACGGCTTTGTCGGCTGCCCTCGCTTCACACAAACTTGTACCCGAAGCACGAAAGCATGACTAGGCAAAACCGATCAAGGCAGTGGAAAGGAAGACTTTGTCTGGCAGTGCCGCTTCGCGTACCATCTAGCAGCTTGCAAGTGCCAATGCCTTGTTGCGCAAGATACCGGAGAAGCACAGCAAATCGCAAGCGTCAAGAAAGCTGCTGCTCTGTTCGCCATGGACAGTCAAGTAGGTGACTTTCGGAAATCGTGCCACATCCCACAGTTGATCTCAAAACGAAGCCACGCTACAAGCTGAAACGGAGAGCAGCAGATCGCGCGCGCCCTTTCCTCCCTTTCCTTCTCTCTCTCCCTCTTGGCACAGGCCCCCGGCCTTTGCGAAACCGTCAAATCGAGCTTTGAATCAACTCGTCGGGCCGAAAGCCACGGATTCAAGCTCAAAAAAATTGGGAAAAACGTAAAAAGTTGGGCGATGCCTCCTTTGACATTTCACGGTAACGCCACGGCAATTGTATCTACTGCGCCAAAAGACACAAAACCTGGAGTGAGTTTAGACAGATTACTTTTTTGTGGGGGTGCTTGGCTGAAGCAGATGTCCAACTAATTTTGCGACCCGATATGCGTTCGAACATGTCAATTTTACATGGTCTTGCCGGGCAGTCCCCGCGCTGTAGCAAAGGACGACGCCACTACTTGCCAGCTTCGATTCCAATCGCTTGGCACTTCTCTGCTCTCCAAAGAGACAAGCATCAAATTCCGCATGCAAACAAAGCACTTGTATGATAAGGTCAGCGGAAAAGGAACAAATGCCAACTCAGCAAGCGCAATTTTCTTGTTTTTGGGGAAGCAATTTGCACATTCATGCGCGATCCTCAAAACCACCAAGCAGTGACTGTGACAGGATGCTGCAAGGGTTTATTTCGAAGCCTCATTCAACATCTAATGAAGTGGTCTCTGGCAGTGGCTCAACTAGGGAGTTTCAGGACTTTGAGTGAACGCAAGGAATCAACAAGAGCAAGTGCAAGTTGGCAACATCGCAACATACACAACACATATTGCCGTGGTCTTTGAGGAGTGTCTGGTCCCGGGAGGCGAGTTTCGCCAAGGTCGAAAGCCAATCGAGATTCGCACAATCGCTGCTGTTTGAGTTCTGGTGGGTCTTAAATAGTGGTACCCAAAACATGGTTAGTTTTTTTTGTTCTTCTTTTTGTTTTCCCTTTTGAAACCAACCAAACAAGGGTACCATCAAAACAGAGAGTTGTGACGGCAGCAGTTCACCTTCTGCCGTTCATTCATAGTGCCAGGCAAGGAAGGAATGGAGGGCCTGCCACACAGGGTGTTGCCGAGGCCACGATTCATGTCCAAGTAGGGTAGTCTTGCACTTGGTTGGCATCACCCCTGTGGGGCAAACGCAGGAAGAAGCACAATTATGCAGACCAACTGTCAAATGAATAGTATTTAAAATAATTTGGGCTCTGTCACTTCTGCGACCGCACAAAACCAACATCCGTCTTTCAACTCGTGCCATGATCTCTTAGACTTCTGCTGACAGCTGTTTTCTGCTGTTTTGTGCGTGCAGGAACGAGCAGTGCCCTCAAAATGAGCGTCAAAGCTTTGGCGGCCGGTGGGAAAACATTGTGGGCCTCATGGACGCTCAGGCCTCGGAAACACACACGGTGCCATCCAGCCCCCAAAAGGGAAGTGACACCATCCAATCGGAGAAGTCAATGAGAGGCTGGCCCAAGCCTTGCTCACCAGAAAGACACCCGCTTGTTCATTGTGGTTTTGACTTTGTTGGAAATGCGATGGGAACTGAAACGATTTTCTGCAAACTGAGCAATCTTGCCAACAAAGATCAGCACAGCAAGCGTGAAGTGGTGCGATGTGAGGCTTGTGTCTCATCCTCAAGTTCAGCACTACAATAGTCAAATAGACTTGCTGCCCTTGAAACTGGCATCCGCTGGAAGTCAAGTGAGTCATGATCAAAACCCGGAATTAACATGGCCTACCCAGAACCATGTACAGAATTGAGGAAGGCGGATGCCACGCCAATTTATGGCTGGGACTGTCCCTTCCCCTCCCAGTTTCCCGGGTTTTGAGCCAATGACTCAGGCTTCCAGGGCGTTCCTGAGAGCCCCACATGCCACCAGGGCGCTCAGCACACCTGCGAATTTGCGGCCACTCGACCTCCCTCAGGGTCGCCTGCTTCTAAGGAATTGATACCCGAACACACCAATGGGTATGTGCCAAATGAGGAGACACCCCCTCCCCAAAATCGTTGGTGCTTGTGGTTCCCCTTAAGCTCGCCTGAAAAACAATGGGAACCCTCCCAAAAAAACAAACACACGCCATCCATGATATCCCTCCCACTCCGCCTGCTTGTCAGTTTCCAGGGTGACTGTCGCATTGGCGCCCAACACATTCTTCACGCCAAGCTCCTCAAACACGGCCTGGCGCGGATTTTCAGCTTGGTTTCGCCCCAAGGAACCCCCAAAAGGGGTCCCCTCCCCCAAAAGAAAGAAGAAAGACACCCCTCACCCCATGTGTCAAAATAGGGGGCCCTAGAAATGCCATCCCCCCCCCCCCCCCCAATGTGTGGAACAGCCTGGATTGGAAAACAAAACTGGTGGGGTGTGCTTTTGACTTCCCTTCAAACAACCTGAAAAGGCTACCCTCAGACTCAAAACACGCACTCTGGCGGCCCTCCTCAAAGACAAACTGACAAGTTGTGGCCTGTGGCCAGGAGTATCCTATCCGGTTTTCAAAGGGAAACGCGCACCTCGGCAACATCGCAGAGGCAAAAAATACCCCAACAAGACCTGGCAAGGCCCACAAGGTCAATCTGCAGGTCATTGCCGCCTTTTCGCCCTCAACATCCTTGGGTGAATGCACGCATGCAAAATGATCGAGGCCTCTGGTAAAGCTCTGACTGTCTGACCCGCTTATGAGCAGCTCTCTGCGATGAAACACCAGCCCTCATGCGTTTCCAAGTACTGCGGACACTTATGCCGATTGTTGCAAATTCCTGTGGCTCTTGGCAGCAAGCTGTTTGAGATGAACCATTGGTAATCTCCATGGCAAAAAGATGGGTTCAAGTTTTCCGTAGCTTTGCGCGCAGGCATTTGTTTTGCAAACCTTCATTCTGCCAGTAGAGTGGATGGTGAATCCATTCCACGGAAGCTTCACATCGCGAAGCTGTTTGTGCGACGATGTGACGTCGGATTGCATCTGCCTGCTTGCCTCGCTTTGCGTTCGGTGTGTTTAGTGTTTATCATCCCCATTCACAAGGTCGCTCCAGAGCTCTCAAACTTCAGGTTGGCTGCGAAGCAACATTTTGCGATGTCTGCGCACTTGGACTTCATTTGGTTGGCTACACCGGTGAACTTTCTTTGCAGTGGCCCAACCATGCACAGTCCTTTGCGGAGTCCCTGGTGTAAGTAGTTCAAAATCGATTGCTATCTCCTGTCCAGTAGTGTTTGGATGGCAAAGTTGAGTCAGCTCCACACACAAATTTTGGAAACCCAACCCAAAGCCAACGACTTCGCCCTGCCCCCCACAATTTGGGTGCGGTGCGGGTCAAAATTAAACTACCAGGAATTGGACCGCAGGTTACACGTCCTTGTTTCCATTTACAAGGGCAAGCCATTTGGGGTACCCATTTTTGCCCCACACCCATTTGAGCTTTCGACCACACGCGTCGTGCCGCTCGACTCGGCGCTGCTCCAGGGCCGGTGCGGTGCCTCGTACTGCAAGGCAGCGTTGCTCCAGGTGAACTCAGCAGAGGCGGCCATGGCGGCCTTCGTCATCTCCGCCACCTGCGAACTCAGCGAAGTCAGCTGAGCCAAGGCAAAAGGACCCTGGAAGTCCCTTGTCTGTATCATTACCCTGGGGAGTAGATCTCAAAAAAATTGACAGTCAAAACTATGAAGTTGGCTCTCCTTTTCGAGAAGTGCCCAAAGCTTATCATTACATGCACCCCTGCAGAGTATATCTCAAAATGGACCGTCAAAACTACTGTGGGTGGACGAATTCCTGCACCACTTTGAAACCATGGTTGCAGCCATTGCGTGCTGGTATTTGCAATGGAAAATCATTCTGTTGGGTTTCTCAGATGGTGCAGCATCTCGTCCGTCCACCGCATTCAGTTGGCTCTCCTTTTGGATAAGTGCAAAAAACAAAAAACAGACACACACACACACAACACACAAAAAAAACACGTCGCCCTGCATGTCGGGGCCCCGCC